AGCATCGCACATATCCAGCTTCATATCTATGGGTTTTCACAGACGGTAGGTTTGTTCGGTAGCTCACGGACTACGGAGACGTACTTGAGAGGCGAGGAGCTCCGGTTCGAATCCCGTGTAAGTACGGTTCGACAAAACAGTTCAAATCGGCATATAAGGAAGTTCAAATGGCACGTTGCATCAACAAATGTGTTTTTATATCAGTTTTGCATTTGTTAACACTATCAGGTAGGTTTAGGGTTGGGTTTGGTGTAGGGCATATTTCCAACACGATAGAGCATTAACTTTTAGCGACAGTCCCCGGATATTTGAATTCTGAACTGCCGCAATACGTTCCTGAAGCAACTTAATAAAAACACAGCAATATGTACCCATATCAACCTAATAAAAACGTGCCAGGGTTCACGTATTGAACCCATGTTTTAGCGCCACTCAGTGGACATTTCTCTTTGAAACTGCGGCGAAACGTGCAGTAAGGTACGTAAAAACGGTCTTGCAGAAAAGTACCCAGAGGTATGTATTTTTATGAGACCAGGTTGGATTCTGCTGTAGCTTTCTTGGAAACGGTTTTCTATGGCTGAGTAGTAGTAGACAAATTAAAATACACTATATTGTGTGAATTCAATGTAAATTACTCAATATTAAAGGAATAGTTAACCCAAAAACTCACCATCAGGCCATACAAAATGAGTTTGCTTCTTCATCAGAACAGATTTGAAGAAATGTAGCATTACATCACTTGCTCACCAATAGATCCTCTGCAGTGAATCAACATTGCTTTTAAGTTTTGCACCATTTTAAATTAGCCCAAGACCAATAGAATTAAGATCCCAGTTATAGTTACATCGGCAGGACCTAGATTGCTGTTTGCAAAACTACATAAACCAGGGGTCCCACAGGAGATGTTTAATTAACATGGGTACATACAAGGATTTGATGCTAGATTTGCCTTACAGGCCCTCAGCTACCAAAACTCCACTTCTAAGAGAGCATAATAGCTTCAATATTTAATTCCTTCAACTCTTTTAATAATTCATTTGTCACTGAAGGAGTGAATATGTGTAGCTATGTGTAAGATCAGCAAATTATGATGACTAAACTTACACTCTTTTATATCCTTGTTAAAGGAGCTGCAAACAGTTTTTGTTTTGGGAATATCACACATAAAATGTCCCATTTATCTGTCAGATATAACCGAAATAACTGTCCTAAAAATCAATGGGCTCTGTTTTTTTAAATCTAAACAGAAACCTAAACAGTGAACCATAAATGTGGTACTATTATATGTACTTTTTACATTTTACCTTTTTTTTTTCCTCGCACAAGCAGTTTCAGAAACACCATTAATTATTGTCATATACAGTGTCAGTCAACCACTGTGAGATGCTATTTTGAAAAGACTCAAAATATAACTGGAAAATATGTTTTTGAACCACAATGAATTATTCTGGCTATCACAAACTTTATTTTATCTTTCCACTGTAGTGGCATGGTTCACCTTTGACCCTACCTCAGCTCACAGAGACATTGTCCTGTCCAATGAAAACCAGACTGTGACTTGTAACAGTTACGATGATCGCGTGGTGCTCGGGACGGCTGCCTTCTCCAAGGGCGTTCATTACTGGGAACTTAGTGTGGATCGCTATGACAACCACCCCGACCCCGCATTCGGTGTGGCCCGGATTAATACGATGAAGGACATGATGCTAGGGAAGGACGATAAGGCTTGGGCCATGTATGTGGACAACAATCGCTCCTGGTTCATGCACAACAACTCCCATACCAACAGGTACACATCTTAATTTTTCTAGTGTGGTGATAAATATTACAAGCTAGGCTTTTGACAGATTTGGTCTACATTATTTTGACCAGGCACCAGCTCTTAGACAGGAAGGGACCATCTATCCAACACATAATATTTGTCTATCCATTGTCAAGCTGGAAAAAAGTTAAATCCATATGAATTGAGCAGTTAAATCCAAGTCTTCTGAAAAAAACAATAACTTGATGAAGAGTTTAATTTAGGCTTTTTATTCATAAAAATCTGCTCAACCGTACTTGCTGTCGATGTCTTCATGAAAAAGTTCATAAAGACATCAAAACATCAGAGGCAAAAATGATGACAGAAGTATCTTTATTTGTGTCCCAAAGATGAACGAAAGTCTTAAAGAAAGACATGAGGATGAGTAAATGATGATTTTTTTTGGGTGAAGGAATATTGCTTTTAAGTGCACATGGGAAACATTAGGGAATGATAAACCCAAATAACTATGTCTGAATTCAAAACTATGAAAAATATGAATTTATATAACTTATTTATAAATGGTATCACAACAAAATGTGAGGCAAACTGTGAAAGTTGTTTGATTAACACTAATCTCTACAGCCTTGCTTTCTGATTTTTTGGGTGATATTAGATACAGGCACTTGAAAAAGCAGAGAAGTCAAGATATTAAGGAATCATTTTTGAAGCAAAGAGGAGATTTCATTACTACAGATTTTATAACATTTTACATCTCATTCTTGGATGCTAAGGATATAAATGAAAATTATTGAGTTGATTAAAGACTTGCTCACCAATAGATCCTCTGCAGTGAATGGGTGCCGTCAGAATGAGAGTCCAAACAGCTGATAAAAACATCACAATAATCTACACATAATCCACACCACTCCAGTCCATCAATTAACATCTTTGTAAGAAACAAATGGTTTATTAAGACATTTTAACTACAAACTTTTGCTAAAATGAGAGTCATCTATCCATTATATTGCTTTCTCAAGTGAAAAATTAGTCTCGTCTGAATCAAGAGATAAAAATGCAGCAATTAAGCACCGTTTACTATTTTTATTTAAAATTCATTTCATGTTTAGCAAAATGGCATACGCACAAACTACTTTGAAGGGCATAAAAACACTTTTCCAAAATTGAGAAGCACAGTGGAAATATATATATATGATGTCTTCATGAAAAAGTTCATAAAGACATCAAAACATCAGAGGCAAAAATGATGACAGAAGTATCTTTATTTGTGTCCCAAAGATGAACGAAAGTCTTAAAGAAAGACATGAGGATGAGTAAATGATGATTTTTTTTGGGTGAAGGAATATTGCTTTTAAGTGCACATGGGAAACATTAGGGAATGATAAACCCAAATAACTATGTCTGAATTCAAAACTATGAAAAATATGAATTTATATAACTTATTTATAAATGGTATCACAACAAAATGTGAGGCAAACTGTGAAAGTTGTTTGATTAACACTAATCTCTACAGCCTTGCTTTCTGATTTTTTGGGTGATATTAGATACAGGCACTTGAAAAAGCAGAGAAGTCAAGATATTAAGGAATCATTTTTGAAGCAAAGAGGAGATTTCATTACTACAGATTTTATAACATTTTACATCTCATTCTTGGATGCTAAGGATATAAATGAAAATTATTGAGTTGATTAAAGTACTGTACAGCCTTCCTTTAGCTCAAACAGTAGAGCATGGTGGGTTCAATTCCCAGGGAAAGCAAAAACTGATAGAATGTGTACCTTAAATGCAATGTAAGGGGCTGTTCACACAGAACATGTTTTCCCATTCCACTGTTTCTATGCAAACAAGCGCTAGACGGACGTGTTTGACCATTGCAATTGTGTTTTGTGTCTTTTGCAGTGTCTTTCTCATGCCACAGCGTACTAAAAACGCAGCACTTAAGTTAAAATAAGTTACATTTTTAAGAAACGAGTTTCGAAACCTTGCATTGTTCAACTATTCCAATGTCCACGTCTCACGCTTTTTGAATAGTCACTTAGTCACTTTGGATAAAAAAATCTGGCAAACACATAGATGTAAACTTACTAAAATATTATAAATGGAAGAGCAAGATAAGCAGGACAACAACACATTTACATTTACATTTAGTCATTTAGCAGATGCTTTTATCCAAAGCGACTTACAAATGAGGACAATAAAAGCAGTCGAAACTAACAAGAGAGCAACAATATATAAGTGCAAATGACAAGTCTCAGTTAGCTTAACGCAGTACACGTAGCAAGGTATATATATATATACGTGTATATATATACTGAGATTACTCAGACTGTGCTGATGACATGCACACCATATACCAGTATGTTTTAATCGCTGTGGAACATAATAAATATTGTTTCAGTGTAAAGGTTTGATTAATACACTGTAGAGCTTAATTGGAAAATGTAGTGCATGTACACATGGTGAATGTCAGACATATGCTGATGCAGTGTCCTCCGGTGAGTATCAAGGACATGCTGATTACAACATTTAAAATTCTGCCTCCGTTTACTGATAGTGAGGACACGCTAACAGTACTGCTAGTGTTACACTTAACAGTCCCTGAAATCTGTGCCTTTTCTATGTAACCTGTTCTGTTTCTTTGTCAGTCTTGGATCCATCGTACTCCTTTCATTTGATTAATTTTAACAGTTTTATTCATCTTCTCTTTTTTAATATATATATATATATATATATAAATACTTTTTTTTTCATGTTTCTTTTATTCTTTTGTCCCTCCATAACCCAGGGTCTCTAAACAGGTAAACCATTCAGGTAAAAGTAGTTTGTAGAGTCACTCCTGTAGAACTGTGCTAGTAATAGTTTTAGTATTCTTATCAGCTTTGTGATAGTTATTAGATAAGAGAATGTTCCAGAAACTCAATGGTTCTGTTCGTATTAAGATGCATTTTTGGTGATCCGTTCACAAGTGCTCAGTACTAAATACAGGTGGAAACATATAACGCTCTGTATCATTTTCATACATCCAATTTAAGACCCATTCACACCAAGGATAACTATTACATTGACTATGAAGTTTTAATAATCATTCTAATTACTCAGTATAGAGAAGTTCACACCACAGCTTTAATGAGAAACGACACAGTGGAACAATATCGTTTGAATCACTTTCAGAAAGATTTTACCAGCTCATGATCCACCTGAGTTTAAAGCAACTGTAAGACTTTTTACCTTGAAAAATCAGTTTCAAAATCATTCGGATGGTACACTGTCTTCTAGTAAGGTGAATGGCTTGTTTTTTTTTTCCTACAGTCCCCCAAAAACCTCCCAAGAAAGTGACTGTTGTGACAAAATATAAGGTGAATGGCTTAAAAAAATCCAAACACAAGGAGTCACATGAGGTGCATTTGAAATGCATGTTAAAGGGAAAATTCCCCCCCCCCCCCCAACCGAAAAAAATAGAAAGAATTTGCACACCCTCAAGTTGTTCCAAACCCTTAAGAAATCAATTCATCTTCGGAATACAAATAGAGATATTTTTTAATAATTTCATTCTCTCATAATTTTTGTGCATCCATTGAAAGTCCACACAACCAAAAGCTCCAAAGCTTCAAGCTTCAAAAAGTTCATAAATAAATTGTAAACCTAATCCATATGAATCAAGCGATTTAATCCAAGTAGTCTGAAAAGAGATGTCACTTTATATGATGAACACATTTAATTTAGTCTTTTATTCACTTATAAACATTAATCTACTTTCTTACATACAGCACATCAAATATAGTAAACAGAAGTTTAACTGTACTTGCTTGAAGTGCAAAGAACAAATCTCATTGGTTCTTGCCAAAGCTCAAATGTGCTTGAATGACACGTAAGAACCAACCTCATTGGTTCTTGTGCATCAAGCAAACATGGTTGAGCTTCTGTTTTCAATATTGATGAACGAACGTCTTATAGGTTTGGAATGTCATGAGGATGAGTAAAACCCTGGTGAACTAACCCTTTAATAACAGGTGGAAACAGGGCCAGTGTTTAGAAATACATGATATGTAGAGCTTCCTTGTGTTCCTCAACGTGTATTTAAAAACGACTATGAGCTGTTATAAAGTTTCTTCACTGCTCTATAAATATAAGTAGGTCATCCTGTCAGACTGAATATTAGCACTGCTGTGATTCAGAAGTAACACACACTGGAGTCTTGAGTAAAGTGGAGTCAAAGCACAGTTTCTCCTCCCTACTTTCTTTACTCTAATCCAGCTCCACTCCAAATTCTCCATTTCCTGCATCCTTCTCATTCCTCTGCGCAGAGAGATCTTGGATCAAAAGAAAACGCCTGTGTATCCTGTGTCGCTGATTCCCTTCATTTGTCTCCTTCCTCTTCTCCCTGATTCTTGCAGGGCTGAGGGTGGCATCACAAAGGGTTCGACTGTGGGGATTCTGTTAGACCTGACAAAACATACCCTGACCTTCTTCATCAACAAGCAGCAGCATGGACCCGTGGCTTTCGAGAACTTGGAGGGTGTGTTCATGCCCGCGGTTAGCCTCAACCGCAACGTCCAGGTGAGCAGCAGATCCACATTCACTGCTCTATAAATATAAGTAGGTCATCCTGTCAGACTGAATATTAGCACTGCTGTGATTCAGAAGTAACACACACTGGAGTCTTGAGTATAAAGTGGAGTCAAAGCACAGTTTCTCCTCCCTACTTTCTTTACTCTAATGCAGCTCCACTCCAAATTCTCCATTTCCTGCATCCTTCTCATTCCTCTGCGCAGAGAGATCTTGGATCAAAAGAAAACGCCTGTGTATCCTGTGTCGCTGATTCCCTTCATTTGTCTCCTTCCTCTTCTACCTGATTCTTGCAGGGCTGAGGGTGGCATCACAAAGGGTTCGACTGTGGGGATTCTGTTAGACCTGACAAAACATACCCTGACCTTCTTCATCAACAAGCAGCAGCATGGACCCGTGGCTTTCGAGAACTTGGAGGGTGTGTTCATGCCCGCGGTTAGCCTCAACCGCAACGTCCAGGTGAGCAGCAGATCCACACTGACCTTTAGTGATCAGTCGCATTGGGATTCAAGAACTGTTTCTTATTCTGAATCATTCTCGTGACCTTCAAGTTGCTTGACCAAAATTCTTCTGGCATGTTTAGATTTTTTTCCCCCCTACAAATGTTATCCTAAGTTGAAAAATTGAAGAGCTCATTAGAAAAACTTTAGGGGTGCAATGAAAATGTATCAAATAATGTGCTTTTTTCTTTAATAAAGTGATATAAGAAGACATTTAGAATTATTTATTTTATTAAAATATAAAAAGTACACTATAGGTTTTTAAATATTTCTGCTTCAAACTGTGTTTAATAATTATAGGCCTACTTTAAACTTTATGTATCTGTGTAATATATATTATTGTGCCGATACTAGTAAAAATCTATACATTTAATAATATGTGTTAAATTATGTTCTTAATCTTTCCTTTTTATGATGCTGCAGCCCAGACAGAAGCTACAAGAGTTTACGTTGAATTAAATGCCACTTTGAATTATAAAGATGTCCGAAATACACTGGGACTCTTATTTTGAAATGTCAGCTTTACTGTTGCTAGCTGCTCATTTATACAGATGCACTGTTACAACTCTCTTAAAAGCAACACATTACAATATAAACACCATAATAATGTATCAACGGTCACTCATAAACAATCTACTGTCATAAATGCATGGTATTCATTATTTGCAAACTGCTCTTAAACAGCGAGCCTGTAGAATGCGCAACAGCACCGTGTTTTTACTTTGACGTGCAAGTTGCTTGACCAAAATTCTTCTGGCATGTTTAGATTTTTTTTCCCCCTACAAATGTTATCCTAAGTTGAAAAATTGCGCTCATTAGAAAAACTTTAGGGGTGCAATGATAATGTATCAAATAATGTGCTTTTTTCTTTAATAAAGTGATATAAGAAGACATTTAGAATTATTTATTTTATTAAAATATAAAAAGTACACTATAGGTTTTTAAATATTTCTGCTTCAAACTGTGTTTAATAATTATAGGCCTACTTTAAACTTTATGTATCTGTGTAATATATATTATTGTGCCGATACTAGTAAAAATCTATACATTTAATAATATGTGTTAAATTATGTTCTTAATCTTTCCTTTTTATGATGCTGCAGCCCAGACAGAAGCTACAAGAGTTTACGTTGAATTAAATGCCACTTTGAATTATAAAGATGTCCGAAATACACTGGGACTCTTATTTTGAAATGTCAGCTTTACTATTGCTAGCTGCTCATTTATACAGATGCACTGTTACAACTCTCTTAAAAGCAACACATTACAATATAAACACCATAATAATGTATCAACGGTCACTCATAAACAATCTACTGTCATAAATGCATGGTATTCATTATTTGCAAACTGCTCTTAAACAGCGAGCCTGTAGAATGCGCAACAGCACCGTGTTTTTACTTTGACGTGCAGCGCTCATATTGGTCTAATGAAATCATAGCCTTTTTTGGTTTGATAGTAATATTAAGCTGTTTTGCAATTCCTGTTTTCCATCCCTAAATTTAAGACCTCTTAAAATGTTAAGATTTTTGTTTTACAATTTAACATTACTTTAAATTTCCTGTAAATAGCTTTTAGTTTGCGCGCATCTATTTTTAGTCGTAAATGTGAGTTAAATGCTTGCACTGTCAAGCCCTGTGTTGTAATAAATGGTACTTTGAAATCGTTTCTCTTGAAAGTAAATAGACGTAAATAGAATAATTTAAGGTGAATCATAATATGAATCAGATTCCTGTGCCTATAGTCATCATCAGCACATCATATCTCTCATCATTAATAACTGAAATGTATCTTTTTCACAGGTGACTCTGATCACAGGTCTGGAAGTCCCAAAGAGCATCATGTGATCATCTTGAACCAATGAGAACAAGCCAGACCTTTCTTGTCAAACAAATCAGTGATCTTAGACTGCACTGACATATAAAGCTGATATTAATAATATTTTTCCCCCTCATGGTCATATGGGTGATTTGCATTTCGGTGTTTACAAATCATTCCCATGTTTACAGAAAAGCAAACCGGGATTGTCCCCACGGGGGCCGAAGCTGGAGTCGAACCCCAAAGCACTTTGAAGTAAAGTTCTGCCTCTTTTTCATACCTCCAATGAAAGATTAGCTCAGTTTCAAAAATGTAATTGGATTAAAACCAATTTATCATCCATTTGATATGTTAGCAATGGAGCAGAGTCATCAAACAACTGTGAGACTAAAGGTGAATTTGAAAATGTTTCAGGTTAATCTCACATGCTACACGAATCTCAGGTTTACTCACCTTTAATGTGCTTCAAAAAAGCATGAATCTGGGGTGCTGGGTTTGAAAAGGTCCCAGTCAAGCCAAAAGCCCTGCGTCAGATTATAGTGAAGTTTACAGTCTCTTCAGTTCACAGTTCTACAAGTAAAATTGTAAAACTGATTGCTAACAGCACACTTCTGCTGAATTAGCTACACAATTTGAGGCATAACTCATGATCGTAGCACAAACAGTGCGGGATGAGTTATGTGCTGAAGTCTAATACTTAAAGGGGTCATATGATGTTGCTAAAAAGAACATTATTTGGTGTATTTGGTGTAATGAAATGTGTTTATGCGGTTTAAGGTTAAAAAAACACATTATTTTCCACATACTATACATTATTGTTTCTCCTCTATGCCCCGCCTTCCTGAAACGCGTGATTTTTACAAAGCTCATCGTTCTAAAAAAGCGAGGTGTGCTCTGATTGGCCAACTATCCAGTGCGTTATGATCGGCCGAATACCTCAAGCGTGTGACGGAAATATTACGCCCCTTACCATACTGTGATGCCGTGTCCCTGGCCGGAGCGACGACGAGGCAAAAACATTAAAACCCATTATAAACGAGGCATTTGTTGCATCCAGTGGGGACATAAGTACTGATTATAATATCATATGACCCCTTTAACGTATGCACAATTGTCTTAGCAAACAGCCCTAAAACACACACACACAAAAAAAACTCCAGGTTTACAGAAATGAAATAATACCTGCCATTAGAGATAGACTGTGCCCTCACCACCAAGTCTTGGTGCTTACTATGAGCCACACTTGTGAATATTTAGCCAGAATCTCAACTCTGAGGTCTCCTTACACTGTGACCGACGTATTCTTTAAGAGTCTTGAAGTTGAAGTGTGTAATTTTTCCCTGTCCCAGCTTAAGTAAACCATTTTAGGTTGATTTAGCAGAAAAGTGTAAACACTGTTTCAAAACATTGCTCTGTTTGTTTGCTGTACTCCTACCAACAACGATTCAACCAATAGTGAGAGTTTAGGGCGGGGCTATCTGTATTTGTGACCAGTGACAAATGAGTGTTGGGGAAACCTGTTTGAAAACAGTCACTATTTTTGTAAATTTATTTAGTGACACACTTACACACTTCGACTTTAAATCCATGACAGACTCAAGCTTCATACACCTCATTACCAGTAAATGAGCACTTCATGGTTCGGTTTATCAGTATTATTTCCATGCCGTGCCCTTTAACGGTTTCCGTGCTTTTTTTAGAATATGATGTCGAAATACCAAGTCATAGCATGTAGTCGGGACAGAAGATTGCGTTTGCATGTTGTACAGCTGTAAATATGGTCAAAACAGTGAAGCGCGCATGAGTTACACAATCATTATCTTGAATTTGTTACACAGTGTGATGACTGGATTAAACAGGAATACAGTATAGACGCAGAGTTTGCAATCTGCCTCCTAGTGTTTGTTGTGTGCAATTATTTTCTGATAACGTAGCTTTGAGTTAAAACCCCCAAAAGCTACGTAACTCCATAACAGCGCTTTTTTATTCTCATAAAACTGGTCACATTAAATGCTACGAAGAGGCACATATGGACCTTGCAATAGGAGATACAAGCCTATGTTCAGCTTATACCTCTGTTCAAATTACGATGGTTTCAGGGAGAAATGAGAGATGTTGTACAGAAATATGGTCAAAACAGTGAAGCGCGCATGAGTTACACAATCATTATCTTGAATTTGTTACACAGTGTGATGACTGGATTAAACAGGAATACAGCATAGACGCAGAGTTTGCAATCTGCCTCCTAGTGTTTGTTGTGTGCAATTACTTTCTGATAACGTAGCTTTGAGTTAAAACCCCCAAAAGCTACGTAACTCCATAACAGCGCTTTTTTATTCTCATAAAACTGGTCACATTAAATTCTACGAAGAGTCACATATGGACCTTGCAATAGGAGATACAAGCCTATGTTCAGCTTATACCTCTGTTCAAATTACGATGGTTTCAGGGAGAAATGAGAGATAAATGAAAGATATTATATTTATGTTTATTATCCTGTCCAGACATTAACTTACTGGATTATGGGAGCAGATAATGACCCATTGGTGATGTAAAGCATGGGATGTTGTTGATATTTATAACACGTTTCTATGAACAGTGTAATTAATGTAAATATAGCTTGAGCTGATGCTTTTATCACGCAGTGAGTACTTAGCTGTCAGGAGTATCAAACAGGTCCTGGCACTATGTAAGTGCAATGTGAGAAAAAAAAAAAGAAAGGAAAAGAGTGGTTAAAAAGTAAAAAGCTGTGCTAAAAAGAAATGTTCGGGGTTCAGTCAGGGCTATCGTCTGCTTGGGACAACTGGGAATGTTGTTGTTCCAGGTAATTTATCCACATCTTCGCACTACTATTATGGCATTTCAAGTATAAATCACAGAAAAAAGTAGACTGTTAGCAGTAAAACACCAATACAAGAACCAGCACAATCTCATGGCAGTTTGTAACTATTTTACATTTTGGCAAATTGGTGACTAATTCATATGAATTTATACAATCTCACTCGTACGTTTTCTACTTACACCCCAGTGACGGCTATGTTTAGGGGTAGGGTTAGAGGTGGACATTCATGCTTACTTTTTCGTTAAAAATAATACATTTTCATATGAGTCATATTGTACAAATTCATACGGAATCACCACCTCATAAAATAGATTTCCTGTGAGATTGGGCTGTAAAATACACACTGACAGAAATATTACACATATTAACATGAGCTCTGAGCATGTTGAGTTCATCACAAGACCAAGACCATGAAAATATGGTTTTCGACTCGGACTTGAGTACTAAAACACAGCTAACATTGTAAAAGTATTTCCAAATTCTCATGATCTCATGTCATGACCATGTAAAGCCCATAAACTCATATTCATATTATACAGAAAAAAGAAAAAGAATGTGAAAACAGTGTTGAAAAGTCATCCTTTTGCCAAAACTATGATTTAGACAACACCAGAGCTCAAATAAAATATTTTAGTACAGCATAATTTGTATTTGTACTTCTTGACCCTTCGGAACATTTCTCCCCATAGACCTCCATTGTACTGTAAAAGTGGCAAGTTTAATTATTGTCTGTGGTAACTACCAACATGCCACATAAGCTGTCCATATGCACTTTTTGCCTCATCCACCATATTTATGACTATCAGCGGGCAAAGTAATGGCGATAAAATCAAAAATACATCCATCAATGGATTTGATCCATAAAAAGTACCAGAAAACATTTTTACAGATCTCAGGTTAGCCCAGTGTTGCCAAGTCCACGGTTTTCCCGCGGAATTGGGCTACTTTAACACTGTTGCCGCGGGTTGTTTTTCATGTCTGCGGGTTGAAGCGCCCCCAATAACGTGATATTCAGGCCCTGGAATGCAAATTTTACTGGAGGAACCCCACCGTAAAATGTGTATTTTACCCCCCGGAACGCATTTGGGCTCGTTTTGTTGTGAAAACCTGGCAACCCTGGGTTAGCCTATACCAAATAACCTTCATAGACATTTCTATATGTTTATTCCATAATCTCTGTATGTAGTACCATTATACGGAAAGCACCCATATACAAAGATGTAATGTGGATTAAATATATGTAAATATCTGAAATGTTTTCTGAGACCTGGTATGGATCAAAACCATTCAGCGTTTTTTCTCTGTTCATGTGTTTTCATGTTCTAAGCCAATACTTGCTAATGGTCTTAATTATAGATGATGAGCCGGAAAGTCATGTACTCTGAAACGGATGAATAGCTAAACCTGAACTTTGAACATTCCTTTAAATCCAGTTTATAATGACTGTGGGTAACGCCTGCAAACCTGCCATCCGCCCAAAAGGATCTATATTGCTGAATTAATTTTTTAACATGTCATTTTAAATATCACAATGGACTTTTTTTGTTTGTATTAAAGCATATTTACAATTTTATGTCAGTGTAGATAATAGAATCACTGGTCATGTATTGAATATGAAACAAAATTCACTCAAAAAACAGTTTGCTGAGACTGGAATATCGCTGACATGAGAACTTGAGAGAGTGCATTGCATATGTATGTTAATAAACCAATTGTACAGTAATGGAGAATTCACTGTGTAGAGCTAAATATGGATATGACCCAGAATCATGGGTACTATGAGGATATTTACTTACTCAACTATATTGGTTGAGGAAGTCAACTTGCAATTCCTGCCCAAATTGAATTTATTTAAACTATAACAAACTAAAAACTTAATATCAGGGGGTTTCTTCAACTGTGGCCACCTTTTGCCCTGTGAACTTTCAGAACTTTTTAAAGAAATTTTTTAACCAACAAATGTAATCTCATCCCATCTCATCTCAAATGGAAATAACATTTTAAACATTTTAGAATATAATGGCCTGTCTTGCTAAGGCTAATTTTATTGCTACCATTTTTTGTATCCTAAATACAATTAGATAATATTTTCATGCTTTTTTTGTATAGGCTAATTGCTCAAAATAACATGACACAATAAACATATGCGGGGATATTTACTTAATTTTTTTCATTTTTCACATGTAAACTGTACACTCTAAAAAAATGCTGGGTTACATATAACCCAGCGCTGGGTTAAAAAGGGACAAACCCAGCTATTTGGTTGTTTTGACCCAGCGGTTGGGTTGTTTTGAACCCAGCCGCTGGGTC